TCTTGCTCAGTGGCTCTTCATGCACTCTCACTCTCTCGCTTTTCTTGAGTCTATCCAACAGCCACAAATGATTCATACTCAGTCTTCTGCTGTTTTGTCAATTCCCATAGACTCCCTAATCCTACGCTTTGACGTGAGGTCCACATAACCCACAAAAAGTGTTTGGACCAGTCTATTGTGTGACCCTTATTGTCCAAATGTGTTCAGCGAGCTCAGCTTTTTAGAGCCACAGACCTTTACAAGCGGTTTTGGGTTCGCATAGTCTCTTGTGAATGTGTCGGCATGTCTCCTCTACAGAGACCTTAGCACATGGGCATAAATCCTTGTAACAGCCGGATCTAGAAAGAGGGTCTGCGCATTCTCTAAACGAAACAACTGCCGGACAACGTGTCCATTTCTCTTTATGCATTGTTCTCACGTCCCATTTCCTCAGCAGTTCACGCAACTTTTTCGCGTGCTGACAGGAAGGATGAATCAGAAAAAGAGTAGAATGGTCTATTCCCCAAATAATAATCTTCCCTCCTCCTGGTATTAACTATTGAAATGCAATTATCTACAAATCCTAATGAATAATCGTTTAAATACGATATTTTCCTCATTCTACTAATCTCCTTCTGCCTGTTGCTCATGACTGCCAGACACAGACTTCTTATTATCGTTGACTTCATGACTCATTTTATGATTCTATATGTGTAGTTGATAAGGAAAGCCGCGTGTATGTGATTCATATACACATCTTGCTCGAATTATTGCCTTCTTTGCATACCAATACATCAAAAATGTCAATCTATTTTTCTTTACATCTCCACAGTAAACATAGTATTGACATCTTTTATACTTAATAGCTCGTTTCATCTCAACACATCTCAACTATTCTCATATCATCTCTTGTCAGTTCATCTTATTTTAACATTTTTGATCTCTTCTCAGACCTGCTTTCATTCTTCTTGTTCCTTTCAGCCGCCTCCGTGTCTGACCGTTCAATCTGCCCATTGGGTCACCAATCGTGCCAACCCGGCGTCTCTTGCGCTCACAATCGTGTCCTTCGGAAGCTGAACAGCGGTCTGCCTGGCGGAGGTGCAACTGAAGTATCCACAGCACCACCGGTTCGACGCTCTAGAAGATCCTCCCAAACCGGTGGTCCGCCGAAATCGCTGCTTCACAGTCTCCATTCTGACTCAGCAGGTATGACGACCTTTGCCATGTTGTAGTGAGTCTATTCATTTGCATCAGTTCGCCTTTCGTCACTAACACGCAGGAAAAGCCGGTTTTGGGAGAGATTTCTGTTTTTGTTGTCTGTCACATCTTTCAGCTCGAGTTATTAACTTTTATGAGCAATTTTCTAATTGTTGAACTTACTTCCATTTCGAGTAAAAGTGTTTGTTGGTGAAGAGATTCGAAGGTCGGTTGCACCAGAACACGAC